CCCGCCGCTTGGCTGCTGCCAAGCCTTCCCCCCCCCCCCTCTCTCCCTCCCCCTTCCCCTGTCTCTGACCCATTCGATCGCTTGCCTCTTCTGGATGGGCAGATCATCAACTGAACCAAAATGACCCCCCTAATCCGAAACCAAGAGAAAATCAATTCCCCGCTTTTCCCCGCCTTCAAAAAGGGCCCCTTCCCCCCCCCCCCCCCCCCCCCCCCCCCCCGGCTCCGCCGCTCCTTCCTCCCTTGCTCGCCAATCGTGCCGTCACTCTTTCGCCCTTCCCCCTCCCCCCCCCCATTCTAATGTCCTTTGCTTGGCACATAGCTCCCTGCCGGCAGCAAGTCCCGCCAGCGTTTCAATGAGATGGTCCATCGTGCTGGTGATGCGCTTAGTACCCCTGAGGCTCACCGCAATGTTCTAGACACCAAATCCCTGCAGATGTACGTGCCCCCCCCCTCCCCCCGCCCCCCAGGGAAGTTCTGCGAAACTGTCGCCGGCCTTTGTCAGCCTCCCCTCCCGCTCCCTACTCTGACATTCTCGCAACCACCGATTTCCGTCGCAAAATAGCATCATCGACCTCGCTGGCTGCATGATTTCCCAGACGGTCTTCACTCGCCGGACCACATCGCACGTAGAAATCGAGAACCTTGAGTGGCCTACTGTCTTCAACAGCATCATCCACTTTTCCCAATTGGCCAATGCCTTTATCAACTGCTTCCGTTCATCCACCCGTGCGTGCCTGTGCCACCCTCCTGCCCTTTCCCTCTCTCGGGCCGCCTTCTCTAATCTTTGGCATCCCCCTTGGCGCCGGGCCCCATTGAATGCCCATAGCCCTCCAGCGGAATGAGCTCCTGCGTCACATCTACAAGCAGCTCCCCATGAAGGACTATGATCCGCTCTTGAACCCGGACACCGGTCTGCTGGATCACTGCATCAGCCAGCAGGGGGTCATCGTCGCGATCCCACTCTCCTGGACCTTCTCCAAGATGGTCTCCGCCAAGGCCATCACCTCGCTGTGCGTCTCTGTGTCCGCTGCTCGTGCCCCCCTCCTTGCGTTCCCCATGGGGCACTTCTTCGCCGGCCGCTTGTCGCTTCTCCGCGCGCCTTCTGACCTTCCTGCGTCTTTGCCAACCCTCCGCCCCCGCCCCCCCCACCCCGCCCCCCGCACCCCCCCCCCCCCTTCCAGAGAGCCCATTATCGCAGCCCTCTGGCCTTCGGGCGACCCATCAATCCATGTCCAGCGGACCATTCATCCTCCACTGGCCATCTTCGCCCTGAGCGCTCAGTTCAATGCCAACCTTTGGCGGCGTAATGGATCGTCCTTCACCGAGATGCTGCTGTACTATCGGTCGTCCCTGTTGCAGGAGAACTCCTCAATGGGCGATCTGTTCCTGATGCAGCTGGCTGCCGCCGGGCTCATGGACGCGGATGTGCTCGTGCGCCAGGCGGCCAAGCACTTCGGCCTGCTTGAGTGGCTGCTCCCGGGTGGGGTGCCGCCCTCTCGGACCCGGGCTCTCAGCTCGGGCGACGATGGGGAGATGTCATCGCTGCCGCCGCTTTTGCGCCCGCGCGCCCCGCCCTTCGACCTGGACAATACCCTGGCTCTGATTGAGGAGTTCCTGATCTTCCTGTCGGCCTTGATGACTGATCGCCTGGCCGTGGCCCAGCAGGGAGACCTGCACACCTACTCGGATGCCATTTGCAAGCTGCTTCTCACCCAGTCCATCTTCAGTGGCATCAAGCGCCATTCGGAGATCATGTCTACCCTGCCGTCGGACTTCCAGAGCGACCCCCGGTCGCGTGCTCTCCTGGCCTCGATCACCGAGCTGATTCCGGCCGAGCCGGGCACCGCGGCTGCCAGCAATCCCAACGCGGTGGCCGGCAATCACTGCAAGCTCCGCAACAGCTGGCCCATGCTGGGGTACTTCAACCCGAGCAACATCCACATGTGCCGCATGCGTCGGAGCCGGTCGGCTGCCACGGTGCTCGGCATGATGGCCAGCCTGACGCCGGGGGACTTTGTCCCGGCCTCGCTGCCGGTGCCTGGGCTCCGTGTTCCGGGCGACAAGCTGCTGTCCACCGTCACCCCGGCGCACTACCACTCGCTGCTGGATGCGCGACTGGATTTCCTGCACGAGTATCAGATCCGGCCGGCCCTTGCGCGGCTGCCGGCCAGTGTGGCCCAGTGCCGGAAGGCGCAGGCCGGCCTCCCGGGCCTTGCCACGCCCCGTGGCTTGCAGGACTTCGCATGCAACGAGTCTCTGCTGGCCATTGTCCATTCGCTGCTGGCCACCTTCTGTGTGGCGTATGATGCGAGCTTCGCGCGCATCCCGCCGCCCAAGCGGTCCGGCGACACGGAGGCCCTCACCTCGCCGTCCATCATCGCGCAATTGCTGCAGCTCCTGGCCGATGCCCTGGCTCTGGAGTTGGTGTTCGCTGAGACCGAGGCGGGTGCCGGCCGGGGCCGGCGCTTTGCCGGGCTCCTGACCACCCTTGCACTGCCGATGTCGGACATCGACTTGTCCGAGAGCCAGCGCTTCTCGATGCCGTCGCTCCTGCGTCGGTATCTGGCCCGCGGGTCGGCCAGTCAGGCTGGACCATCCTCCCCGCAGGGGGATGCGACGATGGCCAATGCCGAGGCGCCTGTCATCGGGCCCCCGGGCGCCGGGCAGTTGGCAAGCAGCCCGGCCACCGTGGTCGACCTGCTGGCGTATGTGCATTTCCGCCTGACCCATCGCGATGCGCCAGGCGCCGGGCCGGCATCCGCCAGTGGGCCGGCGGCTCCGGCCGATGCCGATGCCGGTCTGAGCCAGTCGGCCGACTATACCAAGCTCCTGGGCTATATGTCGTGGATTTCGGCGGCCCTCGATCGCCTGGGGCTTGGCGAGTGCCTGACGACCGCCTATGCGGCCGTCACGGCGGCCAATGATGCGCTGCTGGCCGAGGCCGGTGTTGGGGCCGCCAGCGACTCGGCCTCCAGCCCGGCCCTGTCGGCCGAGGAGGCTCAGCGCCGCAAGGAGGAAGAGCGCAAGCTCCGCTGGCAGCGGATCCTCGACAAGCAGAAGGCCTCGGTGAGCACCTTCATGGCCAACCATGAGGACCTGCTGAAGGACGGCCTCTTTGAGGATGAGGCGGCGTCGGCCGGCGTCTCGGATGAGGAGGGCCTGCAGGTGGGACCCGATGCCGGGGCCGGCCCCGGGGCCGAGCCGGCAGCCATGCGCCCCGTGCGCGATGGCATCCACCCGTTCTTCACCTTCTCGCGAAGCAACTCGTGTGCGGTGTGCCGCGAGGCGCTGACCCCGGCCGCCCCGGGTGGGTATATTGGCCTGGTGCAGCACTCGTCGCTTCCGCGCCGGCAGTTTGCCATGTTGGATGTGACGGCCGCCCCGAGTGTGGCCTCGAGTTTGCTGGACTCGGCTGACATGGCCGCAACCGGCCCCCCCACCCCCCGGTCCATTGCCACGGCCGAGACCGGGCACCAGGCCGCGTGTAAGCGCATCGACGCGCACCTGGCCGCGCGCCTGGACCCCAAGGCCCCGGCCTCCGAGCAGCTGGTCGATGTGGACCTGAACCAGCCGTGGCCGGTGCAGCGGTCCTGGACCCCGCAGCAGTCCAACTGCTTCGCCTCGACCTTCACCTCGCCGGCCGGGTCCTTCGTGTCGACCTGCGGACACACGATCCACTTTGGATGTGCCGCGCCATTGAAGCGCATCCAGGTGGACATCGCCGAGCCCTATCAGTTCCTCCGGTGCCCCGTCTGCCAGGAGACCTCGAATACGGTCCTGTCGTTGGCGGCCGGGCCGTTGATTGCCCGGCAGCTGCCGGCCGTGGCGCCCTTCCATGCGTGGCTGGCCACGGCCTCCGGGGCCGGGTACGACCAGCTGGTGGACTTCCATGTTGGCCGCACGGCCTTCACCCAGGCGGACCTCCTGCCTGGGCACTTTGCCCACTTGACCAAGAAGCATTTGACCCAGTGGTGGACGGCCCAGCAGCCGGGGCACTTGCTGGCCCTCTTCTTCGAGGTGCTGTCCCTGGGTCCCAAGGTGGCTGCGACCGGGCCGATTCCTGGGCACCTCCTGCGGCCGGTGGCCCAGGACCCCACCCGGGCTCCGGGCCTGGCGGCCTATGCCCAGATGGTGACGGCGACGAAGGCCCCCGGCGGGCCGGCCTGCCGAGCTCCGCCGGTCCCGGCCTTCCCGGTGCCGGTGGTGGCCGCGGCCCTGACGCACCAGCCCCTCAGCCCCCTGGTGGATGACGGGTTCTTCTTCCCCCAGGCCATGCCGGACAATATCCAGTCTTTCCGCCTGCGGAATCTCTTCCCCCGGGTGTTGGCGTGCTCGGTGCTGGCACACACCATCCGGTCGGTGGAGGCAGCCCAACGCGGCTGCCGCCACCCAACCACCGGCCTGACCCTGGTCGATGCCGATGGCCGGGCCATTTCCCGCTCCGGCGACATCACTGGGCTCTTCCTGGAGACGATCGGCCTGCGTGATGTGTTGGCCTTGCGCACTGCCCTGGACACCTTCGCTCTGGCGGCTTTGCGCACGCCGCTCAGCCTGCCGGCGCTGGAGTCCAACGCCCTCGCTCTGGCACGCATGGTGAGTACTCGGGCCCGCGTGCCTTCTTTTTCCCTCCCTCTCTTTCTCTTTCTCTTTCTCTCTCTCTCTCTCTCTCT